AGGAAGAGCGGCAGCGGAGGGAGGGGCGCAGTGCGGTAGGGGAAGAGACGGTAGTAAGGCACCGACTCGTCAAAGGTGACGTCCTGGGAGGACAGAAGACGGCGCGAGGTGGGGTGGTAAAACTGCCAACCAGGCGCGTCAGGGGGGAAGCCAAGGAAGACGCAGGGAACAGCACGGGGGGACAGCTTGTCCGCAGACAAGTCGCGGACAAACGCCCTAGATCCCCAGACACGGAACGCAGACGCATCGCCAACCTTCCCCGTCCACCGCAAGGTGGGGGAGGTCTCTGGCAAGGAGACCCGGGGCTGAAGGTTGAGCTGATGCGCTGCGTACTGAACCGCAAACGGCCACAGAAAATGGGGAGCAGCCGCATGGATCATGGACGTACGAGCGACGTCCATGACCATGCCAATGCGGCACTCAGCAATCTCATTTTGCTGTGGAGAGGCCGGAAGCGTGAAGGTCTGGCGGATACCCTGTGCACGACAGAAGGTTCCCAGACGGGCAGAGGAAAACTCCCCGCCTCTGTCAGAGTGCAGACGCAGAACAGGAAAGTCCGAGCCGAAACTCTCTCTGAGCAAGAGACGAGCTGCGCGGATCCAGTCGATCAGCACCTCAGTGACGTCACCCTTGCTGCGCAAGGGGAACACCGTGGTGTAACGCGAGTAGTCGTCAACCACCAACAGGAAGTAACGCTCGTGACCCTGGCCACGGACGCGGGCGGGGCCCCACACGTCCATGTGAAGAGTCTGCAGCGGAGCCTCTGTCGGAGGAAACTCGGAGGAGTGAGGGGCGGCGCGCTGTCGCCCCTCGACGCAGGGGACGCAGGTAGGGGCAGGCCCAGGAGGTAGGGGAGGTAGGGACCAGGGAAGAGCAGAGACAAGGACACGTGAGGCCATGCCTCGGAGGCGAGGCAGGGAGGGGTGACCAAGGCGTTGGTGCCAAAGGAGAGTCTGGTGGGACAGGAGACGACACGAGCAGGGCGCAGACTCAGGACCAGACCTGGACGCTGCAGCAAACACCTGACTCGACGCAGCTACCTGACCAGACTCAGCAACCGGAGGAGGCTCAGTAGTCAGTGTGTACAGGCTCGACCCCGGCCGATGGGTAAACGTGGCCAAGTGTCGGCCCGTCCGAGCACACGTGCAGTGGGTCACCCGCTGACTCGCAGGAGTGAACTGGTCAACCCCCCTATCCTGTAGATCAGCTCCACTCACCAAGTTCGTAGAGAACGAGGGGAGGTAGAGACCTGACAGGGTGCCAGAGGGGGCTGCCGGGCACGGTAAGACAGTGGAGAAGCTAGCAAGGACAGGACCCCCAGAGGGGTCCGCCAGGGAGACCGCAACCGGCCGACTAAGCGGCGTAAGCGTGGTGCGGTCTCGAAAGAAGGAGCGGGAAGCACCCGAGTCAAGGGTGAAGGTGTGTAAGGCCTGAGCCGACGTGGTACCTGAGAGAGCAGACTCACCAGCACCTGGGGCAGCAGACGCACTAGCACCTAGAGCAGCAGCCTCACCAGCACCTAGAGCAGCAGCCTCAATGCCCGGGTCAGGCGGAACACACAGGTAACAGTCACCCTCAACACTATCAGACGCAGCATACATGGCAGCAAGAATAGTATCATAATCAAGATCAAAGATAGCAACCCCCGCCCTAGACAGCTCTCCCTAGCGAGGGATCTCAGTGGCGTCAGGGAACTGGTGACGCCATGCGTCCGTCAGGCGGCCAAAACAGCGCTGGGTGGAGTGCGGGCACCCGCACCGCTCACCAGCGCGGTCGCCGGTACGGAGGACGTAGGTGCAGGGACCAGTACCCCCACCGCGCTGACGCCCAGCGTACCACTCACGAAGCTGCTGAGGGGACAGGGTCTCACGACTGCGCTGCTGCTGCTGGCGCGGACCACCACCGGACCCACTCCTCTGCGCAGAGCCGCGACCAGCTCCACCGCTGCCGCCGCCGCCTCCGCCACCTCCGCCGCCTCCGCCACCTCCGCCGCCTCCGCTCCCTCCGCCACTGCCCCCGCCTCCTCCGCCTCCACTGCTGCCACCGACACCTCCACCCCCGCCACCACTCCCACCACCACCCCCACCCCCTCCACTGCCTCCACCACCACCTCCACCACCCCCGCCAGCCCCTCCAGCGCCCTTGCCCCCCTTGCCCTTGCCGGTGCGGCGTCTCCCGCCAGGGGTAGACGCAGCGCCGACCGACTCGAAACCAACGAGGTCGGCCGCAGCAGCAGAAGCAACAGAGGGCAAGAGGGGGGAAGGGGAACACCCCTCAAAGACGGGGGTGCGAGGGTCACCACGAGAGGCTCCTACAGCAACTATGCTCCTCTCTGCTGCTAGGAGGCGCTCCTCGAGGAGGTCAACGGTGAGTGTGGTGGGGCAAACTGAGAGGAAGTGGTCCCTGACTAAGCGAAGGGAGTCAGGGAGCCGGGTGACTATGTAGTAGAGGGTGATATACATGGGGGGGGGGGTTCTTGGCACAGAACTCAGCAGGAAGCGCAGCGCGGTAGCGAGTGTCGCTAGTGCGAAGGTGCGTAATGAGGTCAGCGACTGTGGGAAAGGCAGCAAGGTCAGGGAACAGGTACGGTAGCATGAGGCGGCTAAGCGCAGCAGTGGCAGGGGAAGAGTAGCGTGCAACTACAGCGTCGTACAAGGTCTGAGCACTCTTGTACTGGCTAAAGTGCGCACACTCAGTGGTCGGTAAGTGGCGACGCACAGCAAGACGGGCAGCAGCATCGCGTGTGGCCCACTGTGAGCGAACAGTGCTGTCAGCAGTAGCAGGCGGGGCAGAAGAGGCACCAGAGGTGAGATCGAACAGGGAGAGTCCGTCTGCCCTATCGCACTGTAGGAACAGCTGGAGGTCATCGACCCAGACCTCAAAGTCAACAGCACGACCCTTAGCATCAAAGGTAAGGACACTGGGGGTAGCCATGACTGCAGTGGCCTAGCAGGGAGTGATCTCACCAGTCCGAGTAAGTAGGGCCGGGGCGCGCTGATAGGAACAGTAGCGGCTCGACGGCAGGGCGGCTCGGCGGCTCGGCTGCTGGGCGGGTCGGCGGCTCAGCGGCTCGGCTGCTGGGCGGCTCGGCGGCTCGGCTGTTGGGCGGCTCGGCTGTCGGGCGGCTCGGCGGCTCGGTTGCTGGGCGGCTCGGCGGCTCGGCGGCTCAGCTGCTGGGCGGCTCGGCGGTTCGGCTGTTGGGCGGCTCAGCTTGGTGGCTCGGCTGCTCAGCTGCTGGGCGGCTCAGCGGTGAAGGGGCCGGTAGAGGCGGCGACGGGGCCAGTAGAGGCGGCGATGGGGCCGCTAGGGAGGGGAGCGGCGACGGGGCCGCGTAGGGGCGGCGTCGAGGCCGCGTAGTGGCGGCGACGGGGCCGCGTAGGGAGGGGAGCAGCGACGGGGCCGCTAGGGGCGGCGACGGGGCCGCGTAGGGGCGGCGACGGGGCCGCTTAGGGGCGGCGACGGGGCCGCGTAGGGAGAGAGGCGGCGACGGGGCCGCTAGGGGCGGCGACGGGGCCGCGTAGGGGCGGCTACGGGGCCGCTTAGGGGCAGCGACGGGGCCGCTAGGGGCGGCGACGGGGCCGCTAGGGGCGGCGACAGGGCCGCGTAGGGGCGGCGACGGGGCCGCGTAGGGAGAGAGGCGGCGACGGGGCCGCTAGGGGCGGCGACGGGGCCGCTTAGGGGCGGCTACGGGGCCGCTTAGGGGCGGCGACGGGGCCGCTAGGGGTGGCGACGGGGCCGCGGAGGGGCGGCGACAGGGCCGCTAGGGGCCGCGAGGGGCCTGGAAGGGCGGCGACAAGGCGCGCCTCGGGCAGGAGCGACTGACGCTCCGGTCAGAAAAAAATTTCAGTGGTGGGCCCAAGGAAGCGTTCCCACTAGGGAACCTGCTCTATACCATGTGAAGAAATGAGGAATGAATGAACTAGTAAGCAGGTGGGTACAAGTAGGAAAACCTAGAAGTGTTGTACCCCATATTGTCTTACCCACTACAGCCTACACAGACTATAGCATATGAGTTTGACACGAAGGACCGTGAAGGGGCCGCGAAGGGCGGCGACGGGGCCGCGAAGGGCGGCGACGGGCCACGAAGGGGCCGCGAGGGGCCTAAAGGGGCCGCGAAGGGCTGTGAGAGGGGCCGTGAGGGGCTGTGAGAGGGGCCGCTACAGGGCCGTAAGTGAGCGCGACGGGCCGCTAAGGGCAGGGGACGCGACGGGAGGGCAGGCACACGGGGCGCGACTCGGGCAGGGGCGAAGCGCGCCCCGGGCAGGAAAAAAAAAATCGATTTTCGGTGGGCCCTAGGAAACGTTCCCACTAGGGAACCTGCTCTATACCATGTGAAAGAATGAGGAATGATTGACTAAGGAATGAGTGTGATACAAATATGAAACCCTAGAATTGTGTACCCCTTAGTATCTAACCCGCTACAGCCTACACAGGCTAGATCATATAAGTCTGACATGAACATACGAGGACAAATGGCAGGGATGATAATCGAGAGGTAGATCTATATTTCAGAGAGGTTGGAGATTGAATTGAACAAGAGGTGAAAATGAGACACAATTCTAGGAGGAGGTAAGGAATCATGGTGATTGGTGGGCGAAGGTTTGTTTCCACGTCGATTGGTTCAGAACCACAAGTTTTGGCAATTGGCGTGTAACATTCGCGCTGCTTGTGGATTGGTGGTTTCAATTTCAGGTTTCGCAAAATTTCGGTCACGCAGGTAACATTTCGTCAGCTGTGTGATTTTGTTGCTAGTCTGAACTCCCTAAACCGCACTGTAACACTCTTTACCACGCGAGACACAAAGTGGGTGTGGACATTTGAGGGGCGACAAGTGACATTTCCGTTGCTTTTTTGTTGCGCCATACAGGTGACATTCTCGCAACCTTCGTCCTTTGGTGACAGGTGTTTTCCCGAAGGTTTTCCGAAGGTTTTCCGCAGCTTTTCCGCAGGAAAAGCTACCGTGTACATTTTGTGCCTGCTCGGAATTTCGCGATGTACGTATGGCTGGTGCGAGGAATTGAAACAAGGCATGCGATGCCTGCCAATTTCGTTCGAGCCTTTGGTTGGGGGAATATACCGCTGAAGGGCGGAGATCAAGCACAGAAGTGAGGGGTAAGTGGAGATAATCAAGTGAGTCGAACTACCAAGCGAGTGATAAACCAGGGAACACTTCTACACTAAAGCGTAGAAACCACAAGACGAAAGGGACTTGAAAGCTAGGCAAGCTCCCGCAAAGCGCCGCACGTCATAGCCCACGAGTAGGAGGGCTTCGAGTTACACCACGGGTACATGGTAGTGCCTCAACGCATGTGACTGGCGTCATCGCGGTCAGCACGCGACGTCGTTGCCTGCGCGGCGCGTGCTTTTCGTGTCCTCGCTGCCTCCTCGTCGCAGCGCGGCGTCACATTCCCCTCCCCGAATCGAGATGAACCGGTCCGCTGCAGCCTCTCGCCTCCCCGCCTATCTCGCCTCCCCTCGTTTCCCCCGCCCGTCGCCCTCATTTCCGCCGCCCGTCGCCCTCGCATCCCCCGCCCGTCGCCCTCGCTTCCCCCGCCCGTCGCCCTCGCTTCCCCCGCCCGTCGCCCTCGTTTCCCCCGCCCGTTGCCCTCGCTTCCCCCGCCCGTCGCCCTCGTTTCCCCCGCCCATTGCCCTAGCTTCCCACGCACGTCGTCAGCGCGTCCCCCTCCCGTTGCCCTCGCTTCCCGTTCCCATCGCTCGCCCCGTCGACCTCTCCTCACTCCCTTTCCCGCCGCTTCCTCCCCCTGCTTCCCCTCGTCTTCCCTCTCGCTTCCTTCCCTCGTCGCCCACGCGCATTCCCCTCCCCTCCCTGCGGCCGTCGCCTTCGTCTCCCGCCTCCCCGCCTTCGCAAACCCTCACAGTGCACGTATTTACCACAGTTCTCCAATCCCCTCACCCTATGCTTCTCATTGGCACGCCGCCTCCTCGTCGCCGCCTGCCGCATCGCCGCCTCTCCATTTAACGTTTCCTTTGTCCGCATCCCTCCCACTCTGCCCTTCTCTCTCTTCCTCCTCCAATCTCCTCCATTCCCTCTCACCCGGTTTCCTACCTCCGCATTTTCCTCTCCCCACTGCTTCCTCTCTCCTTCTCCTCTTCTCCCTCTGTCTATCTCCTCCTATCCCGCTCCTCTCTCTTCCAATCTACCCTCACCCTTCTCCTCCTAACATCTCTGGTCCCTCCCCCCCTTTCTTCCTATCACCCCCTCACCCTCTCCCCTCTTACTATCTCCATCGAGCCCTCGCCCCCTCTCGCCCTCATATCCAACCTTCCTTCCCCTCATTTCCCATCACAAAATAACGTGCCTGGGTTAGGCCTTATTTTGGACCAAAATTGGTGTTGTCAACTTAAATATGACCCTTTTTGGACCTTTTTTAGACACCCTAACAAGGACCAATTTTTGTGTACTTGGATACACAACTTTTGTCCAAAATTTGGACCAAGTCTGCCTGAAGAAATTAAGACCTTTCTAGGTCCATGGTAAGTCCCCTTGTTGTCCAAAATAAGACTAAAATAAGACTGCTGTTGTCCATGTTTTTCAGCATTACGTCCTGCACGTTTTTGTTTATTCACCACCTAGACTTGTTAGCATTTGAACAATAATGAAAATGTTTGTATTGATAATAATGAGTAACACACAATACAACACACCATAGTTCTGAAACTACGACTAGCATTAGCTTCACAACCATGGTTCTGGTCTAAACACCACAGGCACAGATTCTCTTGTTGCTTCTCCCACCCATAACGACATCATACCAAAGCTACTGCGACTTCTGCTAGCACTCTCAAGAACCGCACTTGGAACACACATGCAACTCACAGGCTGTTAGACATAAAAAAAAAAAAAAATCGAAACGGGGAATCAACAAACATAATAACTTACAATACAGCTTGCCAGTATATCATGAAGCCCTGCGAGAACACAGAGGAATGCGCTGTCAGAATCCCAACCACTAGACCATTGGGATAAAAGGGCTTGTTAAGTAGCGGGTCAGTGCGCCCATAACCCCCCAGGCCAACATGCCTGTAACCCTTCCCGAGGATCAATCGGGGATCACCAGTGGACCTCTGACACCCCCCCGCACTGGGATGCCCGAAGTGCACACACTGGGATTCGAACCCGAGACCTTTGCTCTGATACCATGTCAGAATCCCAACCACTAGACCATTGGGATAAAAGGGCTTGTTAAGTAGCAGGTCAGTGCGCCCATAACCCCCCAGGCCAACATGCCTGTAACCCTTCACTAGGATCAATCGGGGATCACCAGTGGACCTCTGACATGCGCAAGAAATGCAACACAATGGTTGCACCAAAACGGTGCCAGCAGAGTAGATAACCTGCAAGAATGACAACAATGAACGATATATGGGTAGGAGAGTTAGCGCCGACGGTAACATTAAAAAGAAGGGAAACTGGAAAAACGAAAGGCAAGAATAACTTGTCACTTGAAGACGTCACGGCAGTCGCGACTGGCGAGGTAAGGAGCCACCGTGAAAACGAAAGTGGAAAGAAAAAAAAAAAAAAAAAAAAAAAAACTGGAAAGAAAACTCGATAATACTACAGCAGTCACGACTGGTGACACAAGGAGGCACAGCGTGATGAGTAACCATGACTGGAGATAAGTGCAGGTAAGGACGACTGAACTGTAGAGGTGATAATCTGAGAAACAAAGAAAGAGGAGGAAGAACAGAATGCAAGAATGAAAATACAATCAAGAGCATGAAGTGAAAGAGAGACGAGAGGGACTGTCGGGGTGGGGAGGGGAAGCTGCTGCGCAGGTGCGTAGGTGCGCAGTGCGCAATTGGCAGTTCAGCCAATTGGCAAAGCGCAGTTGGCAGTGCGCATTTCACCCTGCGCAGTTGGCACTTCCAGCAGTTGCGCGGCTGCGCTGGAGCTGCCAACTCCAGCGCAGCTGCGCAAGGTGTACATCAGCTTGATGCCGAGAGCGTTTCGGACATTTACAACCAATCACAACAAATCTTATCATCAAACTGGTTGGCGAAGGTGATTCCACCAATTACATAACACCCCGACGATGACGTGTTTGCACGACAACAAATGTGCTGGAATGACACAGCGGTGGTTGTTACCAAGGAATGTACAGTCCGTTCGATACATTGATACACCGCATGTACAAGGCTCTTTTACCATGGAACCACATTATAGTGCCCATAAGTGTCACAAACTGTCACAAACATACGTGGTTTCATCCATTTGAACCCGATGTCACTCAGAAATGATCCAAGAATTAGCTTACGAAATTTTATGAGACAAATATGATACATTAAATTACGCAATGATCGACTGTGATTAGGACGACAAAAAAATCAGCTCCCTATAAATATGAAACGAAAAGTTAACATCAATTAGGTTACATAATGATTTTATTTTCTAGTCATAATCTGGTGTATGTAACTATAATCTGTACAATATTCAATGAGGAGAAAGGAAATGAAAAAAGAAAGGGAGAAGGTGTGAAGATAGTAGGTAGAGTTAGGAGCCATAGCTAGGTAAGTCCTAGCTAGGCAAGAGAAGTTTAGGCAAAAGAGGAGGAGTTCACTAGTAGCAATGAGGATACATATAGCAAACCCTAGATGGGTTGTACTCGCTATAGAGCACCCCACTACAGGCTAGAGAATAACATTCTGACACACCCCCATAGCCAAAGTGGGGTGTAATCAGTACAATGAGCAAGCAGGTATAGAGCAGGAGTTCACAAAGGTAAGCAAAGCTAGAGCTAATCACAGCGGGCAAGTGAGGAGGAGGAGGAGCTGTGGAGGTAGAGAAGATGGGAGGCAACGACTGAAGCTGCAGAGGCACGGGCACAGGAGCGGCTGACTCAGAGGCTACCGAAGCAAGGGCGACGGACTACTGGAGTAACTGGCTCGGCGGCTATAGAAGAGCGGCAGGAGCAACGGACCCACTGGCGACTGGTGCAGCAGGCTCACTGGCTACCGAAGCAAGGGCGACGGACTACAGGCGCTGCAGGCGACACGACAGGTACCTCCACACAACCTCCTCCAACTGCCCCACACCCTCGACACACACCCACTGCTCAAACCCTAGCTCCACTCCCACGCACCCCCCTAAAACCCTAAACCCTAGGCTCCCACACACCCACCCCCCTCAGCGGCAGCTGCAGCAGTGGGAGACCAGGGAGGAGGAGGAGCAAGGGGAGTAACACACAACCGCCACCCCCACACTCCTCACCCCCAAACCCTAATTCAGGAGAACGGGCAGCAGCAGGGGTGGGGCACCGTCAGAAGCACGGGGGACAGCGAACAGCTCAGGGACAGAGAGGAACGGGCCGCCCACGGGCCTGGCACAGCCCGACGAACCGCGCGCAGGCGGCCCGAGCCGCGCGCGGGCCTGGCGCAGCCCGTACGGGCCGTGCGCGGGCCTGGCGCAGCCCGTACGGGCCGCGCGCGGGCCTGGCGCAGCCCGTACGGGCCGCGCGCGGGCCGGGCGCAGCCCGTACGGGCCGCGCTCGGGCCTAGCGCAGCCCGCGCTGGCCAGGACGGGCGACGGGGGACGACGGGCTGGTCCCCGTCGCCCGTCGAAGCGCCCCCCGGGGGCGACGCGCGGACCGACGGGGCAGAAGGCCGCCGCGCGCCTCGGGGCGCACGGCGGGCAGAGAACCGCCGCACACCCCGGGGCGCACGGCGGGCAGAAAACCGCCGCGCGCCTCGGGGCGCACGGCGGGCAGAAAACCGCCGCACGCTCCGAGCGCGCGGCGGGAAGAGAAATCCGTCGCACGCCACGGGGCGTGCAACACACAGAGTAGCAGCGGAAGCAGTTAGGTGGGCCCACAGGCCACGAGCGTAGATGCTCTGATACCATGTGAAGATAGTAGGTAGAGTTAGGAGCCATAGCTAGGTAAGTCCTAGCTAGGCAAGAGAAGTTTAGGCAAAAGAGGAGAAGTTCACTAGCAGCAATGAGGATACATATAGCAAACCCTAGATGGGTTGTACTCGCTATAGAGCACCCCACTACAGGCTAGAGAATAACATTCTGACAGAAGGAACTTGAAACTGCAAAAAAGAACCCAAATGCAACAAGCATAAAAAACCCCTTCAAGATTGATTGTCCATGCTCCGTGTCGTCGACGTCGACCGATATTGCATGCTAAAGGATAAAAAAAAAAAAAAAAAAAAAAAAAAAAAAAACCGGTGGGAGATTTATTGGACACGTAAATAGCAACATGTATTACAGCGAACATATACATAGTGAATAAGCTTCCATGGAGAAGACAGTAGCCTATTAGATTCATATAAATAATGAGTATCATAACGGCACGATTTGCTTTAATACGAATACAAATATTTTTGTGTAATACAGGTGGCAATTGGTCCAAATCCGCTACAGGTGACTTATAGCTGACCAATTTTGGTCCAAATCCGGACTTATAAAGTGTGGTGTAATATTGGTCCAATTTGTGTCTAAAACTTGTACAGGAAAAACGGGCCGATTTCTTAAATGTAGCGGCTCGACAGAAATCGAGCAAATTTTGATGCGCTTTGGTTGACCAGAGCGATTAGCAGCGGCATCGGCCGGCCTGCGATCGCTGACGAGAAAACGACTATACGCGACAGGCGGGATGCAGCACGCTAGTGAGCGAGCGACGGCGACCCGTGTACGGTGATAAACGTCGACATTGGGGACGAGCTAACAACCCTAGACACAGCATCATTGATATATTGAATAGTCAAAATGCACATCGCCAGATAAACCATGGTATGTAGGTGGCGGTGCGCTATGGGCTGTGGTTGCTAGCCACTTTGTTGCTTCGGGTAAAAGTGTCGTGAGATGAGAACCACGCTCGTTTTGGTTCACAAACTGCCTAGCTCCCAGACCCAAGTTCCCAACTCCCATTACCCCCGTCGCTACTGACGGGAGGGAGACCACCCGCGCAACTCCGCCAATACTGGAAAGTTGTTCGCGTCTCACTCCCTGCTATAAACTAGGTAACCACACAAGGCAAGTGATAAACCTTTGCCTCCACCCCCCTGAAAGTGCACCCTTGCTTTAAAAAACGCATTGTTTCTCCTAGCAATTATAGATTTTTTTTTAACCGTATTTTACGGTCGTTTTATACGATTCTGTATTATACGGTAGAATTTCAATAATTCGGTCGTAATTTTGAACCTTGGACTCAAGTGTGCTGTGCTGTATCAGCCTTCCCCTCCTCTAACCCATCCTACCCGCGTCGCTCTCCCTCTCTCTCCCACTCACTCCTCCTCTCTCTGTTGTCACATGCACGAGAGGGCATCTGCTCGCATTGGCCGTTTTTTGCACA